CCTGAGTTTACATTAAGAAGGTAACTTTAAGAAAGTTCCTAAGGATGGGAACTGGTTCTCAAGGGAGTCAACCTTATAATTAGAGAGTTGGAACTTTCAGTGGCCCCCTCCCCATTCTACCTTCAGGTGGTGGGGAGGCTGGAGTCGAAGTTAACCACTAATGGTCAATGGCTTAATTAATTGTGCCTATGTCATGAAGTTTCCATTAAAAAAAATCCTAACTGAAGGGGTTCAGGAAGCCTCAGAGTTGATGAACACATGGAAGTGGCCCAAGACTCGTGCATCTAGAAAGGCCATGGAAGCTCTTTGCTTCCCCCATACCTTGCCCTATGGGTCATAAGAGGAAAACCCCACGTTTGTGTTACACGTGGTAATAGTAGTAGCAGTAGTAGTAGCAGCAGTAGTAGTAGTAGTAGTAGTGAGAGAAATGGAGTTTTTAGTCATGTACTATCCAAGGCATTAATCTGATAAATATCTTATTATAACCTGTGTTCCCAAGTTATCTTATTGCCAAATAGATATTCTTGGATTTCTGTATACAGGGAGATGAGAGCTGCATGTGGTCCAGAGCATGAGTTCTGCGTCCATTTCCAAGGTCTTTGACCTGGGGCCAATTAATTAAAATTTGTGTGCCTCAGTTTCCTCACTGGTAAAAGAATCCCTCCCTTAGAAGATTGTTAGGAGTAGTAAGTGAGTTAGTATTTGTAAAGTCCTTACTTGGCACTCAATAAACATTATTTAAGTGTGTGTTTAATAAATAAATGAGCTGGGTAGGCTCAACATTCCTTTGTGAGGGAAGAATAGTTCTTTATTCCTTATTGCTCAGCAACTTGTTCACACAATTATAACTAATCTCCAAATATGCGGGAGCAAGACATTCACTTTATTGCTTCTTTCCACCATCTAGAAGAAATTCCATAAATGAAAGAGTTTATGAGAACCAAATATATATCACCAAACATCTCCTGTAAAGGTTCAGATCCAATGCCTACTTAAGGAAGAAAAGCGGCTTCTTTCCTAGGGTGCACCCTTTATTCAAATCCTGGGGGACATTCCACATCTGAAATGTAGAAGCTAATGATTCCCAGAGACCACTTTTTGAGGTTGTTGAACTGATTTCATCAGTTTATGCCATTTGTGGGTGGGTGGGAAGATTTTACAGTCCGCTACCAATTCTTTCTAACTGCTAGCGAAGAAGAACATTCACTCATGGTTGCTTCTATTAAGGTCATGAGGTCACAGCATATTTTTTTTCTCTTGTCCTTACAAGGAAATCTTCAAGTTTCTTCAGACAGGGAACCAAAAATAGTGACAAGGAGAAAGAGTTGCCAAAGATATGTCCTTTTCCCCCCCCTCTATTTCATTTATAGTAAAATCTTAAATCTTTGAGAGCAGTTTTGCATGTTCCTCTCGCTAGACACTGTTTATTTCAAGTTGTAATTCATGCTGCATTTACACCACCACTCTCAGGTTATCTTATGTTTAAATATCCACAGCGACCACTAGTCCTTTCTGGTCGTTTCTTAGTGCCAATAATTTTCCACAAAGTTATACTCACCTTTTTCTGTCTCTGCCAAATTTTGCAAGATTCTATAGTCTGTGAGAGGCAGCAGTGGGTAAGACACCACGGGCTCTGAGGGCAGAAGACACGAGTTCAAGTTCTGGACCTACCATTGGTTCTGAATCTTGGGAAAGATCTCTGCTCTATTTCCTCACTTCTGAAATGCAAGTGATGGTACTGAAAGCTCCCCTTTCTTCCTCACAGAGTTACTGGGAAGATCAAGTGAAACGCTGATGGAGAAGCACTGGAAAGCTCTATTTAAAAGTAAGTTACATTTGTGCTTTAAGCATTTTCTCTGTATGTATATTTCACAATAAGTAAAGCTAAAATAATTGAGGCTGAAAAATATAACTGATATTTATAAGTTATTGTTGAATTCGCAACACACAAGGTGTCTATTCAAATATTAGTGTGCATACACACACTACACACACACTAGGGTGCTAGACATGTCAGTGCTCTAACCAGGACCACAAACTTCTGATTTACTATCTCTGAAATATTAGAACCTAGGATTCGGAAAACAGATTGTATTTTCTCTGCCCATAAAACATGCATCTTCTCCTTCTCTTTCTAACAAACGGAGGCTGGATTTTTAGCAGATCACACTGATGCCCAGCTAGAGGACAACACGTCTCACTTCCCCTTACAGTTTGGTGTGACCAGGGAAGTTCTGGCCAATGAAGTGTAAGCAGGAGTGTTGTGTGGGATTTCCAGAAAGTTCTGTAAGTTCTGTAATAAGGAGGAGTTGCACCATCTCTCTCTCCTCTCTTCCCTTGTCCCTCTGTTTGGAAAGTGGCTAAGATGGCTGGTAATGCAGCCATCACCTCAGGTGTGAGGAAGCAGGCTGCATCCTAGGAAAGGTGAGAATAAGACAGGAAAGGTTTTGTGTATCTGTTAACAATGGAGTCAACAAACAAATCCTGGACTACCTGGCTCTAAAATTCTCATGTATGAGTAAGAATTAAGCTACTACCTTGTTTTGCCTTTTTGGGAGGGGAGAGAGGGATCTGTTACTCAGAGCTGAACCTAATGTTAACTGAAAAATATCTCTCTGTGACCCATCCATTTTTTTTTAAAGATGTTTTTATTTATTTTAGAGAAAGAGAGAGCACGAGCAGGAGGGGCAGAGGCAGAGGGAGAGATCATCTCAAGCAGGCTCCTCATTGAGTTTGAGCCGGAGTCAGGGCTCAATCTCATGACCCTGAAATCATGACCTGAGCTGAAAACAAGAGTCAGACACACCAAACCTGAGTCACCCAGGCACCCCTGTAACCCATTATTTTCAAAGACAAGTTTGAATCCCTTTTCTAAAGATGCTGGGAGGCAAAATATGTGGTCTCACGTGATTATTTGGCAATTTATTGATGACTTTGTGATAAATCCCTGCCACTCCCAATTGTTGCTCTTTGGCGATCAATATGACTTGCATAAATGAAAGGTTGGGCCCTGTCAGCCAAAACAGAGCAGAGTGTCTTTAAAAAAAAAAAATCTGTTTAGGAAAAAAAAAAACCAGTGAATTAAACAGGTCACCATTGAGTTGTCTGTCACTTGCTCATGGAAGCTGATTTGATGGAACAACACCCTTGACACGGGTGCTGATGAAGATTCAGGGTGGCACATGGAGGGGGTGGATGAGCACGTGTAAGTACATGGGCCAATAGTTTTGTGCACAACATTGAGAAAATCTACCTAAACAGCATTTATAGCTGTATTTGAAAACTGATGAAGTGATTCGACGATCTGTTAATATTTATTGGGCAACATGATATTTTTGTACTGACAAAATAAACAGCCTGTTTGGGAAGGCACACCTGGCCATCTGTTCTCAGACCGTGTGGTGCTGCACTGTCTTCTTCATTCACTTACTCAGCATGTTTGCATAGAGTGCCTATTGCATACCAGACTACATACTGACACCGGACCACCTTGCTGACACAATTCCCCCTTCTGGGATGATATCTTTTGTTCTCCCCTTGTCTATGGCCAATGTCCCTCAGAGGCCCGAGTCTGGTCCGATAAGGCTCCTTGGATCACCACAGCTCTCTTAGCAGTGGTTCCCTGCTCTGCTCCAAGATCCTACAGCACTTTGTATCTGCACAACCAGTTGGGCACTTAGAAAATGCTACCTTAACTGTTTTTACATTTACTGTAATGCAAGTGCCTTGAGTTCAGGGACACATCTTTGGTGCTTAATAAATGCTTGTGGATGATATCATGTTTGTTTAGTACTTGACAATTTCTTTGGTCAACATTAATTGAGCATCTCCTGCATGCCTTGTGCTATCCTAAGCACTGGTGGTGAGAAAAGATGAATTAGACTCAGACTCAGGGGCCATTGGAAGAAGAGAATTGTGAACAAATCATTGTAATTCAATGTCATAGATGTTAGAAGTTTGGAGCAAGTGTTTCAGTAGAAGCTTCTGATTTATCCTTGGAAAGACTTCATAGAAGAAGCAGTGCTCCCCGCCTACCCCCCCCCCACCCCGCCCAGCTCTAAAGGGAGAGGAAAGGCCAGGTGAGTGAAGGAGCCTTTCATAAGCGGCCAATGGGCTCTTCATGATCTCTTGCAAAGTAGGCAGGGCATGAAGAACTGGGAACAGAACATGTCAGAGCACGTTGTCCAGGAGCTCCAGCTGTAAAGAGAAATGAGATGGGCCCAGAATTCAAGCTCTGGACCCTAATCCAGTGCTCTGTCTACCATGCCTCCTGGTCTCCCTAAGTAACATGGATGACCATGAGTTCGACCCAGAGGAGGTCAGGTGTTTCTTATTTTCTCAGTTAAAATGAGTCGAGTAACCCAATTCATTTACTTTATTGCATTTTCCCCTTCCATTTTTCATAATTCTCTCATTTATGAGGCCAGAGTTTTTAGTAATTCCCCTTCCTGGAATCTTCCCTAAGGAAATAATCAGAGAGGCAGACATAAATTTATGTACAAAAACTTTTCCAGCAAAACTATTTATAATAACAGAAAATAGGAAACAACTTAAATTTCCAACAAAAACAGACGAGTGGGCAGGCCCTAAAGATCTTCCCACATATTTTAATAACATTTTTTAAATGCTTACAATTAATGTTATTTTTAAAAAAGGACAGGATAAAGACCTATGATTCCAATTTTGTTGGGTATACATGCCACTATATGCATAGGGAAAAGAAGGGTTTTCAGCAAGATGCTCACAGGGCCATCTTGGTGCCATTTGTTTGAATCATTGTAGCATCAGAAAAATAAATAAAGAAAAATTATTTATTTATTTATTTTTCTGATGATACAATGAGCACTATAGAAAACAGGTGATTGAACTCCAATAAAAGAAGAAGAAGAGGAGGAAGAAGAAGAAGAAGAAGAAGAAGAAGAAGAAGAAGAAGAAGAAGAAGAAGAAGAAGAAGAAGAAGAAGGAGAAAAGAGAGCCTCTTGGTGCCCGGGGGCCTTACCATGTCACAAAATAAATATATTGAGTTACACCGAAAGCGCTGTGGCTATCGTTTGGATTACCATGAGAAAAAGAGAAAGAAAGAAGGTCGAGAGGCTCATGAACGTTCAAAAAAAGCAAAAAAGATGATTGGTCTGAAAACTAAGCTCTACCATAAACAGCGCCATGCTGAGAAAATACAAATGAAAAAGACTAACAAGATGCATGAAAAGAGAAACACCAAACAAAAGAATGATGAGAAGACTAAAAATAAATAAATAAATAAATAATAAATAAATAAATAAATAAATAAATAAATAAATAAATAAATAAATAAAAAAGAGAAGACTCCACAGGGAGCAGTACCTGCATATCTACTGGACAGGGAGGGGCAGTCCTGAGCTAAAGTACTTTCCAACATGATTAAACAAAAGCGAAAAGAGAAAGCGGGAAAGTGGGAAGTTCCTTTACCCAAAGTTCGTGCTCAGGGAGAAACAGAAGTATTAAAAGTCATTCGAACAGGAAAGAGAAAAAAGAAAGCATGGAAGAGGATGGTCACTAAAGTCTGCTTTGTTGGAGACGGCTTTACTAGAAAACCACCTAAATATGAAAGATTCATTAGGCCAATGGGCTTACGTTTCAAAAAGGCCCATGTAACACATCCTGCATTGAAAGCCACCTTTTGCCTGCCAATACTTGGTGTAAAAAAGAATCCCTCATCCCCACTATATACAACTTTGGGTGTTATTACCAAAGGTACTATCATTGAAGTGAATGTGAGTGAGTTGGGCCTTGTGACACAAGGAGGAAAAGTTATTTGGGGAAAATATGCCCAGGTTACCAACAATCCTGAAAATGATGGATGCATAAATGCAGTCCTGCTGGTTTAACAGCAGTTTCAGACAAGTAATCCCTTATAATTACTGAAGACTACACACCTGTCAGGAAGACCACCATTGTTGTGGTGGTTCTGGATGCTACCAAACAGCCTTACGTATCTACAGTCATCAAGACATTTACTCTACTGTAAAACAGTTGAAATAGACATTTATTAAAATTAAAAAAAGAAAAGAAAAATAAATAAATAAATATTCAGTAATAAAATGCAAAAGTCATCGAGAGGGCAATAAAACTAAGACTGGATTCCTGTATTGGTCAGGGTGTCCGGAGAAGCAGAAATAGTAGAGAGAGAGAGAGAGAGAGAGAGAGAGAGAGATTGATTTGTTTGAAGGAATCGGTTCATGTGATGATTATGGAGGCTGGCAAGTCCAAACTCTTTAGGGTAAGCAGTGGCTGGAGACCCAGAGAAGAGTTGATGCTGCAGTTTGAGTCCAAAGGCAGTTCGCTGGTTGAATTGACTGAGAGGTCAGTCTTTTTTCTAATAAGGCCTCCAACCGACTGAATGAGACCCACTCACATTATGGAGGCTGACTTCTTTTACTCAAAGTCTAACTGACTTAAATCTTAATCTCATCTAAAAAAAGACCTTCACAGAAATGTTGGGAATAATGTTTGACCAAATACCTAGATATCATGGCCTAGCTAAGCTGACAAATAAAATTAACCATCACAATTCCATAACTACTTCTCACCTGTAGACCCAACCATTTGGAGACAGAGACTATCTCCTCTTCTCCATCCCTCTCTTACATAGCACAGGTCTGGCTCATGGTAGATGTACAGCATGTGTCGAGATGGGTGTGTCACTGAGTAAGAGAGCAAATTGCGAAGAGGACAGGCACTAATATTACTGATTTATCAATCCAGAATGTCACAATCTACAGTCAAGTTCCCTTAGGCCGGGACCTGGCCAGCCTTCAGAGGAAGCCATATCACACTGTAAGGACAGGCCCTGGCCACCACGATTACCCTAAACCCACAATTATCCTACCCTACCTGTATTTCTAGACCCACCAAAAACTTGCCCTGAGCCCAGAGACTACTAGTCCATCCCAGTGATGTTGCCCTGCCATGAACAGTGATCAGTGGGAAGCAAGAGTCCTATAGACCAGAGGTACGGCCCCTCTGGGGGATGCTTGAGTATAGGCTTCTCACTAGACAGCCTCCTTTGCCTCAGTCCAGGCAGGTAGCTGCGGGAACAGCAGTTCACAGCGACCTGCAGCCAGACAGTGGCCCCTTGCTGCCTCAGCCACTGCTGAGAGTGTACAGCTTCTCTAGCCATCACAGAGTCCTTTTCCATTTTTCTATGTGGGTGTTTGTCCCCTCCCCTCTGGGTTTCCTGTTTTACTGATTAATTCAAACTTGCCTGAGCTAGAATCTTTTTTGAAATCACAGAGCCCCAGATCCTCTGACCTGCTGATATTCCCCCTCTTTCTGGAGCCACAGAAGGGCAAGACTCTGGGTGCCCAGTCAGTTCAGAACAGCCTGGTTTAGTAAAGACATTTCAATAGCTGTGGTCACCATGGCACAAAGGCCAGGAAATTCCAGAGGCCCAGAAAGTGATTTGAAAGAAGGAACAAAGGACAAGTTTGTTTTTTATATAAGGAATAAAAATCTTCTATTCAATGTAGTGATCTTGTCCTAGTCATGCAAAAAATGGTTTGGGGTGTTTTTAATAAAAAATCTACTTCGGGGAATAAGTTCTAAGGTCTCACTTATTTCACAGGAAAATTCACACACACACATTCTTATTGAGGGAGGGAGACTATGATTTTATTTAGGGGAAGGGATAGAAGCTGGGCTTGGTAGACATTAGACTACATCAACCACAGTCAGAAGCAGGTTTAAGGTGGGGATTAGAGGACCGGGCTTCCCCCCACAGAGGAGTGGACCTGTTATGTGCATTTATCCCTTTGTAGGCACAAAAGTGCGGACATGCAGTCTGTGTGGAAGGGGTTAGTTTTGTGTACAGGTGGGAAGCATACCTGGTGGGCAGCGTCCCAGAAAATCAACAGCCTAAAAAGTATGGGTCATATGTTGTCTGATGTGATAATGCACATATTTATGGGTCACTTACCAATTGCCAGGCACTGTTCCAAGTGCTTTGCATAGATAATCTTATTTATTTATTTATTTAAAGATTTTATTTATTAATTCATGAGAGACACAGCGAGAGAGAGGCAGAGGGAGAAGCAGGCTCCATGCAGAAGCCCGACATTGGGACTCAATCCCGGGTCTCCAGGATCACACCCTGGGCCTGTGATCCAGTCGCTAAACCTGGCTGAGCCAACCAAGGATCCCGATAATCTCATTTAATGTTCACAATGTTCCTATGGAGTAACTATGAAAATTCTCCCTACTTTGGAACTATGGAATCTGAGGCCTAGAGAGTTGATGTGACTTAATTTGTCAAGTGCATAACTAGTAAGTGATAGAGCTAGGAATTGGTCCTATAACTGTCACTCTTAAATGACATGCACACGCACACACACACTCATGTACACATACACACAGATTTTGGGGTGCTAAGGTCAGATGTCCTGTCTCTTCTCCTCTTACACAGAAATGGCATACAAACTCACTTTTTCACCTCCACAATCCCTGCCTGAGCCAATTTCCTGACCTCTATTCCTGTTCCATCTCACTCCAACATTCCAGTTACAAATCTAAATAGCTGTATTCCAGTCTTGACCTTTCCTTCATTATGTTCCCGTCTATGAGAGCTCTGGACTGAGAATTCACCACATACTGGGATTAATAGGCATTCTATGACCATTCAATGGCTGCCCTTGGATACCTGTTACTTTGGTCTTGGCAATGATGGACCACATGGAGAGGAAGCTGAAGAGCTCTGCCTCAGCCCTCAGGAGACCCCAGTTCTACCTTTGACCTACGAGGCAGCCTCCTGGGTGCAAGGTTCTTATCCCTAAACTTAAGAAATTGGCATCAGCTACCTCTGAAACACTAACAAGTTGTGTTTCACTGGTCTCTTTCCAGGGGTCCCAGACTGGTGATTCTTCTTTTTGTAGCCACCACTCTTGCCCAGGCAGCTTGGTGGTCTATCTTGGGGCAGGAACGAGACACAAGGAGATTTATTTGAGGAACCTGGCCATCCACACACACAAGTGTTCATGGTGTCTTCTGGGGCATAAAAATGTAAGACCCAAACACTGACAGCGACTGCATCTTTGCCAAGTCTTGCTTCCCTGAGCTTTCTGATTTATAGGATCAAATATATTCCTCGATTCAGAACGACTTGTTCTTCCTCTCCTTTCAGGATATTTATGGAGGAGAATTTTAGAATCACTCATGGTCATTCAGTGAAAATAAAAATGACATAAGACTAAATGACTCATCGTTTTAAATCAATACTGTAGAGAAAGGTAAATATTTGCAATTTATCCATTCTGTGCATTATACAGCATTAGGAAAGCATCAAAGAGCAAAAATAGCTTCTGGAAGGCAGGCAGGTGCCCAGAGGCACTGCGAAAGCTAAGTTAGCGCCAAGGGTCACGTGTAGTTAGGGAAACCACCCCTCAGAGAGGTGAGGGAGAGCTCCTTTCCTTTGAAGCACCAGCCTGGCCTTTGGAATTTGCTGATCTTTCCTTAGAATGGTGGGATTAATGCAGTGAATCTAATCCTCTTTCAGGCATTGCTGGGACTACCCAAAGGAAGAGAGAAAATAAATACGGTTAGTGGCTTGGCAGCCAGTGAGGCAAGTGGGGTGCAGATTATTCCTGACTAGCTAATTTCTTGCTTTATGAAACTCTCCTTCCCAAAGTTGAATCCTCCCCAAACTACATTTCCCAGCTTTGCTCATACATGCTTGCTCCAAGCACATAACCAACACCAGCTATATCATTTGTAGGGTCCAGTGAAAATTGGAAATGTGGGTCTTAATTCAAAAAGTAGGAGGGAAAGGTGCAGTTAAACGTACTACAAGATAATCCATTTTTCTTTAAAAATATTTTATTACTCATAAAATGTGCTATGGTGTCATAGTAATGTGTTAATAGCAACATAAATTTACAAATTGAAAAAAATTGTGTCATAATTTTAAATCAGATGGTAAAGGACAATACTTTATTAATGTGCCATCTTGACTGATCTTAAGATTTTTCTAACCTGCTTTCCCAAAAATCCATGTATTATTAGGTTCTCAACACTTATGCTTTTAGCAACATTTAATCAAAAGTGATGCCAGTTGCTCTTATCAAATGTAGAACACAAATAATTTCCATAATTTTTGATTTTGAGAAGGACTTTTCTGATGCCTCTGTTATTGGAGTTAAGAATATTTTATAGTCTCTGACAACATTTTTAATGAGTAATTTTGTTTTTTTTTTTAATTTTTTTTTGTTTTATTTATTTATGATAGGCACACAGTGAGAGAGAGAGAGAGGCAGAGACACAGGCAGAGGGAGAAGCAGGCTCCATACACCGGGAGCCAGACGTGGGATTCGATCCCGGGTCTCCAGGATCGCGCCCTGGGCCAAAGGCAGGCGCCAAACTGCTGCGCCACCCAGGGATCCCTAATGAGTAATTTTGAAATATAAATTTTAATGCCCCTAGAGTTGATCATTCTTGCAGAAGAACTTTTCTAAAAAGATTTAACTTCTCATACAAATCAGTTTTGTGTAGGTCTGAATTTAATTTTATTTTATTAAAGATTTTATTTATTTACTTATTTGACAGAGAGAGAGAGAGAGAGCACAAGCAGGGGGAGCGACAGGCAGAGGGAGAGGGACAACCAGACTTCCCGGTGAGCAGGGAACCCACATGGTGCTCCATCTCAGGACCCTGGGATCATGACCTGAGCTGAAGGCAGATTCTTAACCTACTGAGCTACCCAGGTACCCTACTGAATTTAATTTTAAATTTTTTTTTAATTTTTATTTATTTATGATAGTCACACAGAGAGAGAGAGAGGCAGAGACACAGGCAGAGGGAGAAGCAGGCTCCATGCACCGGAGCCCGACGTGGGATTCGATCCCGGGTCTCCAGGATCGCGCCCTGGGCCAAAGGCAGGCACTAAACCGCTGCGCCACCCAGGGATCCCC